AACAAGGCAATCCCAGCTGTCAAGTGTACTGGCTGTTGGGAAGTGGGGGACACTTAACTTGGAATCATGCACAGATGCTAATAGTGCACCTCATCTGTGCCTGACAGTGTGCTGGGATATGGCTGTTGACAATACAAACATGGTTCTCACTGGTGGAGCCTAAACTTGGGAGAGAAGCTGAACAAATATTTAATTATGTAAGTGTTAAGTGCTTTGAAGCAAGAGCTCGGTATGCATTGCAGTATACCTAGGGACTTTGTCTGACGTAGGCAGTGAAAGAAGGCTTCCCTTAAGGAGGGATACAGATGTTGAGCACTGACATGTAGAAGAGTTAGCCAGACAACTCTTAGTACAGACTGGCAAATGCCACAATACAGATATGAACAAAGTAAGTAGAAGAAGGGTGTTGGGCTGGGCATGGTGGCTCATACCTGTAATCCCAGCACTTTGGGAGGCTGAGGCAGGCAGATTACTTGAGATCAGGAGTTTGAGACCACCCTGGCCAACACAGTGAGACCCTGTCTCTACTAAAAATACAAAAACTAGCAAGGCATGTAATCCCAGCTACTCTGGAGGCTGAGGCGCAATAATCATTTGAACCTGGGAGGCGGAGGTTGTAGTGAACCGAGATTGCACCACTGCATTCCAGCCTGGGTGACAGAGCAAGACTGTCTCAAAAAAAAAAAAAAGAGAAAAAAAAAAAAGGGGTGGTGAGCAAATAAATAACTGCTCAGGGTGAGAGGAGAGGGTTGGAGACAGTTTTCTAGAGGGTGAGATGTTTTAGATGAATCTTGAAAGATGGGAAAAGATTTTTTATGGAATAAGAGAGTAACATTCCAGTGAGAGGGAATAATGCGTTAAATTGCACAAGTTCAGAGCATATTCTGGAAATAACGAAATCTAGTGTCACCAGAGAGAGAAGTAGGTAGGAGGGTTGAGTAATTGTAGATGAAGTTGGAGAGATTTCCGAGCAAGGATTGTAAAGAATCTTGAATATGGTGTGCAGGTATTAGGGCTCATCCTTCTACGCTGTGAAGCAGTATGGGACCAGTGAAACTTTTAAATCACAGGACTTAGCTAATTCCAATTTGTTTTTTATTTATTTGCTTCCTTGACTTCTTTTTAAAAGAAAAGTTGCATTCATGAGAGAATAAAGAGAGGAAAGACTATTTAGGAAACAGTTACAGTAGTCCAGATGAGAGATGATAAAACCGTGAATTAAAATAGTGGTGAAAGGGCCAAAGATGAGTGAGTAATTCAAGCGTTGGTCTTACAGTCGAACAGGTGTGAGTCAATGATTACGAGAAGTAGGAGGGTCAGATTTTGGTTTCAACAAGGTAACATTGTTCTCCAACAATAGCGTTGTTGCCTGAAGTGAAGGACGAGGGAAGAAAAACCAGTCTATGGTCAACTATTCCTGTGCATAGGATATATTTAAGTTCCAGGTTTATAATTAATGATGTTAACGGTGACTACATGAAGTTTTCTGTGTTGCATCTGCGTAACCCTAACATCCCATTATAAATAAAAGGCAATACATAAGTAAAGTAAGTACCTTCATTGAAAAGTAAGTTCCAGGTTGAATGACCCTGGATTTCTCTGTAATTCTGCAGATCCAGAATGAGGAGAGTGTGGTGCTTTTTCTGGTCGCGTGGACTGTGACAGAGATCACTCGTTATTCCTTCTACACATTCAGCCTTCTTGACCACTTGCCATACTTCATTAAATGGGCCAGGTGGCGATATCTTGCCATTTAGTTTCTCATTGTCCTGTGCGTGCTTATTTTATGTGCTAACGCCAGAGAACTAAAATTCGTGTTTCAGCCCCATGATGTCAGAGTGCTGTTGCTTTAGATATTAGCTGATACAACTAATAATAATATTAACTGTATTATGTATTTAATAATATTAAATAATAATTATACGAGTTATGCTTTGTATTCTAAAAGTTTAATGATCAGAGAGGAATTGTATTAATAAATATTTTTAGTGAAATAAATGTAAGACAAATTATTGTAGTATCCTTAACCTCAGAATTGGTCATTCATTTTTGTTTTGGAAAGCACAGTAAACATTTTTGGGATTAGCTTAAATAAGCAGTGCCAAAAATATGGTGTTTTTTGGTCTGTGATGTAAATTATTTTAAGAGTCAATCTAGCAGCCACAATTTATGTCATTTATACAATGCGATTGGTTTTTTTTTTTTATTTTTTTAGCTTTAAGTTGCAGAGATATTTTTAATAGTCATACTTACTTAAAATTGTATTGTTTGGAATGTGGATAAAATTTATATTTGAAGAGCTCCAAATATATCCTAAAGCAACAGTTTTTAAAGCAAAAGATATCTGTTCTTTTTGAAGTTTGAATTCTTGGAGCAACTGACATTTTAGAAAGTTGTTATAAAAGCAAAACTGCTCTTTGGAGAACAAGTCACAAATCAGTATAGATTTGTTCACTTTATTCTTTGTATTATATTTATAGTAGTAGTAACAATGACAAATGGTGTGTGCCTACTGCATGCCTGAAATGCAGGTATGAACAAAACAAATTGTCTGCCTTATGACGAAGACAATACAGAAGCTAATAGATATGTGATATGTCAGGTGGTGATAAATGCTGGGATTATAGGTGTGAGCCACCATGCCTAGTCAATTACTCTTTTTGAATCTCATGTGTTATACATGTTCAAATATAATAAATGAGAATATACAAACCAAAAAGAAGGAAAACTACTTTTAAATTACTTTACTTATAATCTGTCTACCCAAGGATAATCACTGTTGTGTTTTATGGTTTTTTGGGGCTTTTTTGTTTTTTGAGACAGGGTCTCATTCTGTCACCCAGGCTGGAGTGCAGTGGCACGATCTTGGCTCACTTCAATATCCACCACCTGGGCTCAAGCGATTCTCCTGCCTCAGCCTCCCAAGTAGCTGGGAGTACAGACACAGGCCACCACATCTGGCTAATTTTTGTATTTTTTGTAGAGAAGGAGTTTCACCATGTTGCCCAGGCTGGTCTTGAACTCCTGAGCTCAACTGATCCACCCACCTCGGCCTCCCTAAGTGCTAGGATTACAGGTGTGAGCCACTGCGCCCGACCATGTTATACATTCTTTTAGACGTTTTAATATTCTCTAGCTCTTCTTTAGACACTTGTGGCTTACCACTTTGCATAGGATGAAATACTTTGAAATTATAATTTGAGCTTAAGTGTCTTGTCTGTCATAAGAAGGTTGCACTATGATTTACAGGGATTTGGGTGGTCTTAATCTTACTGTACATGAAAATGTATTTACCTTTAGTGACTGGGCTTTTTAAAGGTTGGCAATTTTGAATGTAGTGACTCTAATCCTAGAACACATTAATATCATTTAGCATGACAATGTTCTGGACCTCTGGCATCTTTAAAAATACTAACTCATCATCTAATCTCTTTTCATGTGCTGAATTTACAAAATTTGTCTGAAGAAGATAACAGAATGTACGTTGCACATTTTCCTGAGGTCAGGCACATTAGACTTGATGGCTTTGTGTGTCTGTCTTTTGGAATGCATTTGCATGTCTTGAGTGTCTGTAAAAGTTAGAAACTGCCATTGTATGTTTAAATTTGCTGTTTAGAAAGTGTTTATCCATTGCAGACTGGGAGTGGTGGCTCATACCTGTAATTCCAACACTTTGGGAGGCCAAGGTGGGTGGGTCACTTGAGGTCAGGAGTTCGAGATCAGCCTGGCCAACCTGGTGAAACCCCATCTCTACTAAAACATAAAA